TGAGTTTAGTTTCAACTCGCTTTAACACACCTGCCAGGAAGTTTCTAGTACATCTAGTAAGAGCTTGATTAAGTGGTTCCAGTGTGTTTGATTAGGGTTGGAGCTAAACTCTCCAAGACACCGACTCTCCAGGACTGAGTTTGGACGCCCCTGGTTTAGAGAATGAAGTGCTAGAGTAAGGAGAGGGAGGTTATTTTATATACAGAAAGAAGAGTGTTTCTACAGTTGGTTTGTCAAGCCTGCTCAACTGCACAATGTTGAATGCACATCAGTATGTGCATCTAGTGTGGCATGTGTTATTTTTCAGACTCCCTAGTTTTTCGCAATTTTTGAATCCAATGCAAAATCAACAAAAAATGTTGCGATTCTGCAAAATTCTTAATTTAAAGGCAAAATTATGGCAAAAAAATGGTCGGTTCTACTTTATATTAAGTGGCCTTAACTAATATGTAGTTACACTGAAATTAATCATTTGTTACAATGTACTTATTGTGCAAATACATGTTTTTACATTGTACATGACTGATGAAGCAACTGCCTGTAATTACATCTATAATTAATTTCTGTAAATACATCTTTAATTAAACTGTTGACCATCCCTTACACCAGTGGTTCTCAAACTTTTTTCATCAAGTACCACCTCAAATTTTTTCTCTCCCCAAGTACCACCATGGCCATTACTGGTATTGAAATACAGTAGTGTAGCAGGCCTTATTATTATGAATATTTATTATTGTCAGACACTTTAAACATTATAAGTTGTTTGAACATTAACACTGCTGTGCTGATAAAAAAAAAGATAAATAAAACCTCAACATTTAAATTAAAATGTGCTTTTGAAAGTTAATTAAAAATGGCAATGTACTTAAAAGTGAAAAGAAAACTGCTGCACTTAAATGTAAAGTATTATCATAAAGTAGCCTGTTCATCAAAACCTGGAAATGTTCCTTGGACCTCATAAATATAGGCTATATATCATCATATTCATATATAAATTATTTTTGATCAATTTTGTCAAATATATGTTGCATGTATGTATGACTTATTTGTATATCTTTAAAATTTAAACATTAACTTGTATTTTGAATATATGAATTGAATTTACTTATTTAAATTAGAAATTAGATCAGCTTACTGTGCATTAGAGTAGGCTATGTGTGTCAGAAAAGCAAGTGATTAAACTATACCTGTCAACATTGGGAAATAAAAGTACTGGATTCGCCCTGAACAACCGTTACAAAGATGGAGAGGAAATTAGCTTCAAATGATAGTATACATAACAAACATTAGAAAATTGAAAGTAAAATAAAAGGTTTAGCCTATTAAAATCAATTTACTGATCACATCGCTGTTATCGTACGCATAATTATTATTATTATTATTTTTTTAAACGTCAAGGTTTTAAAACCGTCAAAATTTTCTGTAATACCGTTCCTGAGGTATGAGTAAGACTTTTTTATTTCCTTTGTTTCTTTTTTTTTTAAGACAAAAGTACCTCAGATATATTAAAAAAATGCCGTTTTATATTGTAAATAAACTTGTGTTTTTGAAACAAATGAAGACAGCAGAATTGATTAGAATTATTTAGCCTGACATGTTTGCTGCTCCAAAATATTTTAAATGTTTCCCAAATTAAAATATATTGTGTACAAAGGGAAAAAAGGTTTTGTTTTTTACCCAGACATTTAAATAGAATACATTTTAGAGCAGTATTCTCTATACCGTGAAGCCGTGATTTTTATATCCAAGGTTATCATATATCGTCAGAATCTTATACAGGCTAATGCCTAATTGTAGTTGCCATCTAATAAATATTTTACAGGAGGGCTAATATTTTTGCCTTTAACTGTATGTCAGTATATTTTCCATTCACTCAGTTTAACCAACTAATATTTTAATAGGGTATAAGCCCAAGCATGCTAATAGGACTTTTAATTTGCCAGTAACCTGGGTTAATCGTTTCTGGTGAATTGTATGCCAATGCAAAATCGGCACGTTTAAGGTCTGTTTTCTTTAAAAATCAGCTATCTCCACTGGCCGAGTGATATCCGATATAAAGTGGGTCTCAGATTGTACAAGAAGCACTGAATAAAATTGATTTTTTCCCTAACCTTGTCTTTATAATATGAGCATTTATTTTACCCCAGTATATTTAATGGAGCTTTTGCACTAGCCTGCCGATTCTGATGGGAGCATGTGAGCAAACGGCTTTTTGTCTTGTTTTACGCTTGAGCATTTAAATTAATGCCAAAGTCTGTTTAACTGATTGTATTTTAATTACATTACAACATCGATGCTGCAAAAGGAACCATATAAAATAAAATAAAAAAAACACTAACAGATCACTGGAAGTTTATCAGTATGGGAAACACATTAGCTCGGCGTATACCCCATTGCATATTTTGATTAAAATCATTTCGTATGATCAAATTAGTTGCACTTGACACGTTTAACTTTTTAGTTAAGTTCTATTTAGCTTCAGATTTTACGCTTAAGCATGACACATGCAAATAGTTACTTACAATAGCAACTGAACCAGTTTTTAAGTTGGATAAGTTGAAAATTTTGTGTAAAATACTTATAATACCTTACTAAATCAGGAAGAAAACTGCTATATAATGGGCAGCCCACAAATACAAAGCATCACGCTTTTCCAGTCTCTGAGCAAACACCTAATGAAAGCATTGGAGTGCAGTGACAGCATCTCCCCTCTGCTCAAAACTACTGTAAAACATTTCTCTAAAATCCCAACGGAGAAAACGAACAACACAAAAATACTGCTACATGCCAAGCTGCTGAAATATTGACTACAGGGATTCGACTGCAGGACTCAGTATAGTTACAATCCCCACTGATCACAGGTCAGGCAGAATATTACATTATTACAATAACTAGAGTATTTTAATAAGCATTAGTGTAAACCCTCAAACTGACAGGATTGAGATAACTGCTGATTTCCAGCAGAGAAAGTCAAAGTCAGTCTGCACTTATTTGATCTCTTCCTCAAATGGAAGGAAACTCTGGATGTCTGCAGGGACGAGAGGTTTGTGTGTCCCGCTGACTGTGTCGCCACACGCTGTGCCACTCAAACCAGCACAGAGCGTGTTTTCTGACAGTCTGCTGTTTAAGGATGGTAACTAGAAGATTTTGCTCTCAGGCATGAACTAGCATAAACTTGCCGCAGTGAAAGTCGTGAGAGGTCATTAGAAATTAGCAGCGGTCAATTAGTGGACTCACGGTGGAGAAGATAAGACTAATCGTATTTCACAGCATCTGCACACATATGAACTGCGAGACCTGCGAAAAGATGCGACTTCAGGACAACACATACACTTTATACACTTCATTGAACATGTTCACATAGACATCACCTATGCTGTATAACTGCAGGCTAACTAGTTTCATATATAATAACTTTAACTGTTAAAAGCTATTAGTTACTAGTTAATTAAAGTAATTAGCAACTAAAGAAGTTATGGTAACTAATACATTTTCTGATTTTGATTGTAATACTATAATTATAACGTGACCCTTTTGTAAAGTGCTTTAGAGTGGAAGAACTATGATGTCAAATTGTATGCAAAAACCCGGAGGCGAGTTAACATTTTAGCAGTTCCGGTTCCCTCCTCCCAAAGTCAATGGGTTTTTAAAATGGGATTTCAGTAAAATCGCTTAAATAAGGTTCGTGGCTAACACAAATTCAAGATACTTTCACGTTTTGTTCTACAACATGAAACACATCAGTTACATCTCACTCTTGATTTTTTAAATCGGTTATGCATCTTTAAAAAGACGGTTGCTATCAAGTTGCTAAATGGGACTACAGGCGGTGTCGTAGACATTATACGTCATCAAGCTGATCTGGAGCGCAGCTCGCTTGCGTTGGACATTTGGATTTGTCTGTTATTTAAGTATTTTCGTGAACAGTATTTTATAGTTTGTAGTATTTTTCTAATTGGGATTTCATATTGTGTGTAGGTAATTCCTTCCCTCGTAAAGGCAGTCGAGACAGATTAATTTGTTGATCATTTAATTAAATTAAACGATATTATGAAGATACTGCTTACCCATGCAGTCTGTCTCTGTCTTGCTCTCAGTAATGCAAACGTGTGAATAAATGTGTAAAAATACATGCATGTTAACTGTCATTTTAACGTGATCAAGGGGATTTTTCGTCGTTTTTTTCTTCATCTGAACACATTTAACTCTGTCATAACTGCAATATTTACTCTCCTCTATAAAATGTATAGCATATGTGACTGTATAGGCTGATTTTCGCTGTACTTCGTGACATAAAAAGAATACTGAATGTTGTTCTCTATCCATTATGGAACTTAAAGGGCATTTGATAGACTTGTTCCTCACGCCTCATTTCTGTCATCTGTTAAGGTAAGCAGGCTTTGTGCACGCGAGCGATACACTTATTTAAATATGTCTTATGATAGTTCTATGTTGGCACATTTATACATAAAGCAAAACAGATGCATATCCCCACGTAAAAACAATCCAAAAGGCACATAGGTCTATGTGTATTTGCGTATTTATTTGTTTATAATATTAATATATAGCGTGGATTCTAATATATTAAACAGATAGATTAACTCTTTGTCATGGACATTATTTCTAAAAATAAGTTTGATTGGGGCTGATGTCACAGACGAGCGCCCTGAGGGCACTGTAGTCTGTTTATAGCCTAATGTTAGCTTGTCAGTTCTTGCGTTTGCATTTAAGATCCAAAAGTGCTCAAAGTTGAATTTTCGTGTGAGGATTATCCAGCTGGACAAAACGTGTAAGTGTAATAAACTGTGTTTGAACACAGAGCTTATTATTTGCAATCTTCAAAAAGCTTATGGCAAAATCTTATTGGGATTTTATCGAGGGAACCAGTTTTATGCTAGCAGCCGATTAGCCTAAAATATGACGTCATAGTTTCTCCACTCTATTCTTGGAAAGTGCTATACAAATAAACTTGAGTTGAATAAGAAGACAGAAAAACTCACTCTCTGTCGATGACGAGGCAGGTAACTGCTTCAGCAGCGATGACATTAGCCGTCCTGATGTCTTCTCTGCAGAGACACACACACACACACACACACACACACACACACATGTCAATCTCACAAGGCCAAAGTACTGTGTTCATGGTGTTCATTTGGAATGAGTATAGAGGCTCGTAAATAAAATCTGTTAATGTTTGAAGGTTAATATCTTCATTTGGTATACCAAAAAATAGTAGCAGATGTAATTGAGTCTGTGGAACTGGACTAAGTGACAAGTCTAATTTAAAATCAATTTGATTCATCAAATGGACTAATAGCTATTTTCATGCTATTAGTACTTTTCTTTGGTACCACTTTATTTCAAGTCACAATTCATGCTATTAACAAACCATTAACCAAGTCTTTTAGTAAACAAACTGCCAATTAGCAGCTTATAAGGGCTGCAGGATATCGAGAAAAAAAAGGGAAATTTTGTATTTCTGCTATGTATATTGCAATAAATAATAATAATAATAATAAATAATTTATATATATATATATATATATATATATATATATATATATATATATATATATATATATATATACACACACACACACACACACACACACACACACACAGTGCATCTGGAAAGTGTTTGCTTCAGTTTTTTTTGTTTTTTTTTTCAGTTGCTTCAATTTTTTTTATGTAACAGCCTTATTCCAAAAGGGATTATATTAATTTATTTCCTCACACTTCTACACACAATACCCCATGATGACAATGTGAAAAAAGAAAATTTAAATTGTTTCAAATTTATTAATAATAAAAAACCTGAAAAATCACATGTACATGCATGCATGTATGCATGTACATGTGATTTTTCAGGTTTTTTATTATTAATAAATTTTTTTATTATTAATAAATTTGAAACAATTTAAATTTAAAACAGCTACACGTATGTATATATATATATATATATATATATATATATATATATATATATATATATATATATATATATATATATATATATATATATATATATATATATATATAATTTTACCAAATGACTTGAATAACTCTATTTGAAAATAATTTATTTATTTTATATTGCTAGGGATGATTCTCCAAGGGAGTGTAGCATGCATGCAATTTAATAAACAAATTACAAGCATAAATGAATCCAATATAGCAAATATAAAAGTGAAATTATCATTTTTAAGGTAATCAAATTGTATTCAGGTAAGAAAGTTGAACCTTTAATTAAACATTTAAAATAACTCTGCAAATAATTTACAGTTTAGGTAGTTACATTTTGTTTAAAATCAAAGTTAAACTAAAGTTTCTTGCCTGATTGCTTTAAACTTTTAGGGTTTAACGTACAAATGATAAACTTTTACTCCACAAATCTTGTTTTTATTTTCAACTGTGGCTATATAATTCTGATATAATATAAATAATCCTAAATCATAGTCCTAAATCAACATTGCAGATCCTACGATGTGACTATTGCAGATGTGCACATTGCGATATCGATGCTGACTATTGTGCAGCCCTGCTGCTTATTATGTAATTGTTAGTAAGGTGGAAGTTGGGTTTAGGGTTTGGGTAGGGATGCCAGGGATGACGAACCATGTCATAAAGTGCGAATCATCTCAGACTGGTTTTTTGAACATGACAATGAGTTCACTGTATTCAAATGGCCTCCTCAATCACCAGATCTCAATCCAATAGAGCACCTTTGGGATGTGATGGAACGGGAGATTCACATCATGGATGTGTAGCTGACAAATCTGCAGTGATACTATCATGTCAATATTGACAAAATTCTCCAAGGAATATTTCCAGTACTTTGTTGAATCTATGCCAGGAAGGATTAAGGTAGTTCTGAAGGCAAAAGACGGTCCAACCTGGTACTAGTAAGGTGTAACTGATAAAGTGGCAGGTGAGTGTATATTGCAGCAGCAAAAATTAAGGTCACCTTCAAGTATTGCACGATAGGTCGATATATTGATATATATCGATATACATCATGAAATTTAAGTATAAAGCAATTAGAAATGTGTAATTCACATGAAGATCAGACCGATGATCAGCTTCCCAGAGACCCACTGTAGCTGATTTATATCTGCATGCAAACATCCTGAACAAGACTGCAGTAACAAGTCATGAACTATAATACCGTTTCAGAAAAACATGACAGTCAGAAGTATCGCAAACTAGATGCGCACATTCGCATGTTATTTATAATGAAACTATTCAGATGACGCTCTGTGGGCGCGGCAGATATTTGAACAGTGTCCTGAGTCGTGGCTGGGCGCCGCAGACAGCCGCCAACATGCAGCACCGGTGTGTGTGTACCCTGATAGAAACCTTTGTTTAAGACCACCTAAACACTTATCCCTGTAATTCGCACACACGCACACACACACGAACACAGAGCCTCACTGTCACTGGAGTCTTCATCACTGCAGTCTGACAAACATTCACAGGAACTAAACTCCATGTATACAGGAAGGATGAAGGCACAGACTGTCCTCTTTGCTGTTTTGAAGTTCAATACAACCGTGTGTGTGTGTGTGTGTGTGTGTGTGTGTGTGTGTGTGTGTGCGTGTGTGCGTGTGTGCGTGCGTGCGTGCGTGCGTGCGTGCGTGCGTGCGTGCGTGCGTGCGTGCGTGCGTGCGTGCGTGCGTGCGTGCGTGCGTGCGTGCGTGTGTGCGTGTGTGTGGTGAACCAGAATGACAGTTCCAAGCAGCTGTACAATGCCAATTCACAATGACCAGGTGGCGATGCTGATTGGCTTCAGGCACAAACAGGAAGTGCCTTTTAACTCTTAATATTAACACAGGCTCTTTGGCAAAACATGCACCGTGGCAGCATTTCTACAACATATATTACATTGCCGTTTGCACCTTTTGGTTCCGCTTTGAAAAATAAACAGCGTTTACTTTTATCTGAAACTGATGAATACGAATCTGGCAATGTTTACTGATGTTGGTTATTGTTTGTAGCAGCAGATTGGAAAAGAAATGTCCCACTAAAAGCTGAATACTCTGTCATATAATGAAATAGCAGCATCTACGGTACAATAAACCCACACTTCATCTGTACTAATAGTAACAATAATAAAAGTACAGTAAGCATGAGATAAAGTTTACCATTTTGGATTTAGCTAAATCATTATTAACATGTTACTGTGCTTTCAAGTGCAGTGAAAGGTCAATTTGAGGTCACAATATAATTTTGTGAATGAAACTGGTTAAATAGAATAATAATTTGATTATTCATCAAAAATCAAACCCTAATTGTGATTGTGTGATATGGGGAAGGGGAGTGTATACAACAACAACAGGTGGCCTGAAAGCATAACTTCTGAACATGACTTACAGAGTGCAAATCTGGGGTCCGTTCTTCGTACCTCGCTTAAATGATCCAAGATTATTTGGCAGATCCTGGATCTTTTAATCTTGATAACTGATCTCTCGCTAATTTGGTTCTTCAAACAAGTTCGCGAATCAGATTAGAATGTCTGGATAAACTGATCTGAGAAAGCTGCGTGTGTTGTGAAGGACAGCTCTATCGATCCTCGAAATCATGATCAGCAATGCAACGATTGGCTGACGGCACAGCAGCGTAATGACATCATCTGATTAATATTCAATTATCTTTACATCAAAATTACATCAAATTAGCAGTAAACGGCTTGTTAAATATGACACGCAATAACCTTCCACATTTGTTGTGAGCTGCAGGCTTTCCACTTTCATGTGTCAAGAGTATTCATCATGTATTACAATGCAAATCAATATATTTAGTTCTACATTTAGAAAAGATTTTCTTTATTATAGTAGGCGTTTTTTAATCAGTGTAAAGAATAACTGGTTGTTTACAAAAGCATTTTCATATTGGTAAAGGCATCTGCAACTTTTGTGAAGGATCAAATCACCGGCATATTAACTATCAAAACATGTTTATGACTGCATAAATGTATTATTGCTTTAAAAAAAAAGTCACATATTGTGCATTTCTATTATACACAATTTGTACTAAAGCGATCTAAAAAGTTCATATCAATAAGTTTTGTCTTTGCACCACCAGGTGGCAGTCTTTGTACTTTCATTTCGAGGGTGCAGATTGCATGTTTTATTATTATGTATAACTTTATTTATTTTATTAATGACTATAACTTTATATATATAGTTAAAAAATATGTACCATTTTCCCAAGTGTATATAACTACTACTGTAAGAAAATATCAGAATTCGGAACATACTTTCTGTATTATCTTTGCTTGAACTTGCGGACTCGTCAATGCTTGACAATGGACCCTTCTCTAAGCCCCGCCCTCCTTAGTTACTGTTGCTGCGCCGGTCAAGCTTTTGTGCCTGGCAAGGCTTTTTCGAAGTGTGTGCACCGGTGTCAGACATTGCCAGGGATATATTGTCATGTTTGACGAATAGGTGAAATATCTGAGAAAGCCAGACAAAAAAGGACTGCAGCCTGCATTACAGGGGTATATTCACCTTATAATAGGCAACAGATTAGAGAATAAATCAATCCAAATTGAAGCTAGCTTAGCCTAGCTGCCTCATACGTTAACGTTCAACAGCTTAGTTCATGCACAGCAGGAGAGGTGAAATTTAAAAATAATCTAATAATAACTAATGAAACCGTGATTTCTCTATTTTTAGCCAAAAAGCCTGATAGATTAATTGTAAACACGCATGACAGTGCTTTTACTGTACATAGTTCATTCATAGAAAGAACAGCCAGAAAGGGAAACTGATGGATTTGTGCCGAATATTAGCATCATTGACCCATAACAATGTGCAGTAAGTTACCTATAACTGTCAGTATGTTTGTGTGCTCTTTATAAATGACTGAAAAACAGCTGCTGGTAAAGTATATGGATCGCAGCTGCTCAGTTTGTGATCATATCTTGGTTTTGTTCTGTTGATTTGTAATATCAAATATTCGTAGCTTGAAATAAGATGAAAATATGAAGTTCAGTAAAGTAAGCAACAGATTCGCAGATTCGTATTTTCCAGATCAATAACTCGTGTCATTATGACCTATTCGCTAT